TTCCAAGAATCATGAGCGTGCTTCTCATTCTGGTTCCTTCATTATAATGCGATGGTTCACAGAGGAGTTATTATAACATAATAGAGTACTAATCATCCAGACAGAATAGGATTTACTCTGCGTTTACTGCAGCTAGAATTGAAAATGTCTATTAAGATAAGAAATGAAATACTGTGCCATTACCATAAATTACGTCGTATTAAAATAAATGGGTTTCCATGTTGAATATTGAATTGCATTTCGGTCGTATCCCATGCTAAATTACCTCTTCAATTAACTAAGTAATTTGTACATTTATGGATGAATCGGTTTGTGTTTTGCATAGTGCTGCATTGTCTTGATAGTGTTTTTGCATCTGTAGGTCAAACCTGAAGGGGTTGTACAGAGGAGATGTCTATAATGTTTACAACTGCCAGAGAAGTATCAGGCCTTCGCGACCAGCACTGGTCTGCTGGATGGGATACACCAGCTTCACTGCAGCTCACATCTGCATCGGTACAGTTACATATTGAATACTTCCCGTCAAGAATATAGATGATCCTGTTATCCATATCTCCAGTACGTTTAGATGTATTTAGTTTTTATTGCTTTAGAAATGCTGCTAAACCTCAGATATTGTGCGTCATATAGTAACTGTGCATACTGTACCCCAAGAAGAGGGGGATATGTTTGTACATCAGATAGTGGTAAAACAGTAATGGCAGATTTAAAAAAATATCCTCAATTAGCCTCAGCCAGGCATTACATTTTAACATGTCAAGTGATATTGATAGCACTCTGTCTGTTCATAACTCCCTTTATGTTTGTTTTTGGATACATCTCATATTCTGTTCTCAAGGTTTCACATAAGAAACAATTTCTATTGCCATGTAGATTTGAAGGATGTTGGACAGGCTGTAATCTGTGAGGCTCTGATCTCTCCTCTGCAGGCATGATCATCCAAACCTTGGTGTTCTTCCTCTGCCTTCTGGTCACCGTCTTCCTCGTCATCATGCCTGTACTGCGCGGAGAGAATCTGATTCTCTTTCAGATCCTGTGGAGCATGTGGTGAGCATCACATCTCAATTCCCTGTTTTGGATAACTCAAAAATGCACGTTGGTTAATATAGAATTGAGGCTGCTTTCTTACTTTCTGAAGACTTGACACCTGGAAAGGTTTTCAATCAACAGCAACATTATTCTCCATGTACTGTATGTTGCACAGTAATGGCTTGAGTATCATATATTGTTCTGTCAGTTGCATAAATGTTTTGTGTGCCTTCTGTCTTTCTTCTATCACTGCAGGAGATGTTTGATTGTTGATTTTGTCCCTTCAGGCCCTTCTGGCTGATGATTCTCTTGGCTGTGTTGATTCAACATATCACCGGCAGGTTTTGCTTCATCAAAAAAACAGCAGGCACGCGGGACCTAGACAACAGGTGAGTCACTGTATTCAAAGCCATGTTTTATCTCATGTTCATTTATTTTATGTTTTTAACTGTCAGATAATTGCAGCATTGTCCTCTATGTTTAATGCATCCTATGTTGACTTACAGGGGTAGTCTGTTCCTGCTGACGTACCTGCTGTTTCCAGTCAATGTTCTGATCGGGGTGCTACTGGCAGCGTGGCGCATGATCATCACAGCTCTGTTCAACATTGTCCACATGGGACGAATGGACATCAGTCTTCTTAACCGCAACGTGGAGGCGTTTGACCCAGGTGAGAGGGATATTCTGCTCTGAGTACAGAAGGTGATCAGCACCACCAATAATGTCACTGTCTGGTATGCTGACCCGTCTAAAGCGGTAGGTCAAGTTCAATGTTGTCTGCATTAAAAATAAATCTTTGGACATAGCTTGTACCTTGGACTCTCTGGGTTCATTTTATATATGCTCAAATTAAAAAGCAAGGCATTGCTTGGGAAGTCAATGTCTTCCATGTATTTTACATTTTTTTTGCTTTTAGTCTCAGACACACAATGTTAACATATTCATTGCTATTAACATCATGCGTTTACCTTTGTATATGACACTGTGCTTTTTTCCGCTTTCACTGTGGAGGCTTAAAAAGAAGCAATTTCCTGTGAGCAAATGCCCTTTTAATGATTCTACTTAAAGGCCAGAAATGCGTATCCTTTCCACTTTACCCAGCTAGCAGCTCGCTGCAGCTCCTATGATATCTGTATTCTGTGCAGTGGACTGTAATTGCACACCGATCTCTGAAATGGCTGCAGACTTAAGACATCTGTTGTCAGGAAAAAGCAGGTGGTTTAAAAAAAAGGAAGTGTGATTGTATGGCCCATTATGTGTGATTGCCTCAAAGCCAACATGGGGTGTAGTCCTATGTGTTTATTGCTTTTGCCCAGTCAGAGTGATCCCCCCCTCCCTGTGTCTGTCTGCAGCCTACCGCTGCTATGCTCATTATCTAAAGATTGAGGTGAGCCAGTCGCACCCTGTGATGAAGGCTTTCTGCGGGATGCTGCTGCAGTCCATGGGCCAGGAGAGCAATGCTGCACAGAGGTCACGGGATGCTGAAGAGGGTCTGTAGCACAAAACTGACATCTTCGTCTTTTCATGATAATAACAAAAATATAGAATAAGCCAGTCTTGTCCTCTAATGTAGATATGAACGTTTATCTTTAAAGTCAGTGCAGCGTCTTTAATTTCTCCAGAGAGGTTGAGAATTTTGTGGCAGGTCACTGTTTCACATAATCAGATCATAACACTGTAGAAGAAATGAAAGCTTAGCCGTTCTGATTTAATATGTCAGGAGAAAATTGAGTCACACAGTGGAATAATTTACAGTCCTGCTGCTGGTCTCAATCAAATCTGTCATAAACTAATCAGCTATCCATTATGGCGTGCCCACACTCGTCTGAGCCCTCAGCTTCTGTCACCAAGAGACAATGTAGTCCTATGTGTTGCCATTATACACATTATTCAACCAATGTATAATTTATGTAATTCATACAAAATACGAGAAGCTACTTTGAGGCTGGTTGCTGATCTGCAGTGGTGGTTTTGCCTCAAACGGCAGGTGATAGTCATCTACACGTGGGATGACAAGAGGACATTATAGTGACAAATTAGCAGGAAAATGCATCATTCAACTCTGCCTGGCTTCTTGTCACAGCTGAGTCCAATTACACATGTGCAGTGGAGATGTTGCTTGTTTGCATCCACAGAACAATGCATTATCAGAAATAATCTATTGTTTTACAAGGATTAGTTCTCCAGTATTCTGATTACACAGATGAGCTACGATAATTGCCTGTTTCGTATTCATGTAGCCCAAGGGGCTTAGCTTTCAGTGTGTTAATGGCATGCCCAATATGCTGGCTCCATGCTTAGAGGATTAGAATATGATTGCTTTCTATTATTACGCTTTCTGAAGCTGGTCCTCAGAGGCCTTAAAGTTGTTTCCCATTTCAGTTAAGATTAAAAAAAAAGGTTATTCTTGTGACAATAGGACTTATGTATGACATACCATTGGTGCTATCATGATTTCTGAATGTCCTCAGGGATCCAGCTGGTCAATCAGGAGAAGAAACAGCTAAAAGTGTCCAGTACAAAGAGGGCCCGCCGGCACTGGCAGCTCCTCTACACTCTGGTCAACAACCCCTCCCTGATCGGAACCAGGAAGCACTTCCAGCGTCAGGCCGCAGAGAGCTTTGTGAATGGAAGCCTCAACCGCAGCGCCAAGGAGGGGAGCAAAAAGGAGGCAGCAACCAAGGAGGCAGAGACCGCTGCCAGCAACTGAAAATGAATGTGACCCTGATTAAGGATTGGTACAAAGTCTCTTCTGGTTTTGGGCAAGTTCTAAAGTCAAATTATTTGTCCACAATAAGTGCACTTATAGTCCAGCGCCACATGTCGAGATATTGACCAAGCCTTTCCTGCCTGGAGATTGTGCCTCCTCTCTGTGCTCTTCATGTTAAACTGGTTGTTTGTATGAGGGCCACCGTCTCCTGTCTGATGTGAGAGCTTGTGTGGCACTGCTCTCCCAACTGAACACCCTCATTATGTGTCATTGCATTGCATGTGTCTGTGCATTTATGTGCTTATTTTGGGATGGCACTCATTTTCTTTATGTTTCAACCTGTAGGTTAATCGCATTTGTTTTCCAATATGTATTTATCATATAGTGCAGGTAATGCAAATTAGTTGTCGCCCAAACTAAACGCATGCATTCCACTGAAGCATCCTGTTAATGAGGGTATTAATGTCGATTATTTCACTATTTGTGAATTTACATAATGAGGTGTTTTCATGGACAGGGTAATCATTTTTATTTCAATTGTACACATTTTGTGTAATTAACAATAACCTGTGGAATAGGAACTACTAGACAAATTAAACTGTATTTTCTGTTTTATTTGTAGATCTAAGTCCCAAACCACTTGCTGCTTCCAGCGGTTTCTTATTTTCGCCTTTTCTCGTTTCTGATATTTCCAAATTTGACATTGATGTCTCTGCATTATCCTGTCGACTTTTAAGTAAAAATATGAACTCCCGAATTTTCCTTCTGATCACTCTGTAAATAAAACCTATACAATAGTTTTCTCTTTTACATCATTTAAATTATTAAAAGATTTAATTCTAGAGTGGGTTCATTTAAATGCATGGTGTGATGCTGTTGTGTTGAGCGAAATGAACTGTGCAGGGCCAAAATGAAAATGAAGACAAAGGGAGGCTTTGTGTTGATCATCGCTTTCAAACGCAGCAGTTTTCTTTACCTTCTGCATAAACACACACTCCAAAATCGCGGAGCCTGTCTACTTTTTCGTATTTTGTTATAAAATATAATAGAATAATATGACAGACATCGAAACAAACCCCCATAATGAAAAGGCATCAAAAGCAGAAAAAGATCCATTCATAATAATTAACTGGGCTGAAATCTGAATCGAAACTATAGTATCAAATTGTAAGCTATAGGTTTGATTACATATGTTTTATTATTTCAGATACATTTTGAAAATGTTAATTTTTTCCTGAAATAATTCAGACAAATCCAGAAGATGTTTGATATAGTTTCATGTTTTATTAATTCCACTTACATAAAATGATATCAAAAAATCTTAAAAGGTCACGGCTTTTGTTTTCCGTTTGATTTTACAACAGTTCACAAAAACTCACTATATGCATCCAATTACAAGACAGTGAAGCCGCCAGACACCCAGTGCGCCCTTTTGTTGAGGCTTCATAGAAACTGACCGTTGTAAAAAAATAATAATTTCAATTGACATGGCTTTACATCACAGGTTGACAGTATAACATCTAAAGTCCTCTAGACTACACTAATAAAAACCACACAAGAAAATAGGCTACGTGACATGCCATGGACACGTTCATTGTAAAAAGCGAGAGTAAGCAAGCACCCGTTAATTAAGAAGTCAAAGTCGCACATTTTTAAAGCCTTACATTACGTCAAACAACATTTTGTGGGTAAATTACCTGGGATTTCCCGTCAAGCACAACACAGTTGAAAGTGAAAATTCCCTTGTTTTGGTCTAACAGGACAGCGGGCAGGTCAGCACCGAAACCAAATATCTGCATCTAGTATCACTTAATCAAATACCACCATCCAAATTTGCGAGTGGAGGCGCAGTGTCGGCACCTGAGGACATGGCAATAGGCCGGCGAGAGAGTTGTTTTCTCATCCACAGACGCACACAGCTAAGACAGAGCAATTGGTCCCTGATGTCACTTTAATTAAAATGGCTTTTAAAACATATGGCACTTGTTGTTTTTTTTGCTCTCTAAAAACTCTTAACATCGTTTTTTTTTTTTGCCCTCAGTTTCGTAAAACTCCGTTGAACTCCGCGCGCCACCGTTTGCGCCCATACCGAGAAAGGGAACATTTTGCTGCTTTCTTGTCAGTTTTGAGGTCTTACAAACTGTAGAAATCTGTGCTTGCATTGTAAATTGATGTTGCTTAATTTAACCTTACAGTAGACTACAAATGTCACATGAATTAATTCACAATCTCAAGTGATTGACGGACTACTTTCTGAGGTAAAGAAAAAATGTAAAAGATCCACCTTTTTTGTAAGAGAAGCCATCGTTGTTCACGTGAAGTGATAGTGGTTACGTTACCGGCTTAAATGTAGGCTGCTTGAAAGTAAAATATTTTACAGTATACTCGCAGACGTCAGCGGAGCTCAGCGGCTTGGCTGCTTGTAGTTGCCGTTGATCTCCTCCGAGATGTTGACTGCCTCCGCTCCCAGCGGTAATCTGTCACTGTACTCCGAGCCCACTTCAAACTCCTCCTGGTTGGTTTTGGATGAGGATCCGGGGATGGACTGGGATGTCACCACGCTCCCCTCAGCCTCCGCGTCTCCTTCCTCATCATCGGCCTCGCCTAACTCGCTGGGGTCGAAGGTTTTCTCTGACTCCACAAAAGACGCCCTGGGATCAAAATCTCCTGTCATCTGTTTCTCCAGCTGATCTGGATTCCGAGCCTTCATGATCAGCTTGTAGGTCTTACCTTGGTACTTGTATAACAAATGGCAGCAGGTGGCCCCCAGCAAGGGAACAGTGGCCAGACCCAGTAGGAAAATGCTAACAACCACGATGATAAGCAGGGAGGGGATCTTCTTCCTGGTTGTGAAGACCACTTGGACTTGGCAGTCCTGCCCCCCATAGGTGAGACAAAGTGTGTAATTGGTGCCAGGGTGTAAACCATGGAAGCGGTAGGCGTTAACCCCCTCCTCTATGTTGGACCACTGAACCATGGAGTGTCCATTGCCTGTATTTACACAGAGGTAGAGCATGTCCAAGGTGGCTTTACTGGATGAGGACTGAGACAGACCAAAGGCCTCTTTATTCACTGTTTCCTGGTTTTCGGTGTGACTCACATGAAGGTTAGATTTGCTGCTGGGAAGCTGCAGCGGATTCAGCTGCACTTTGGCCTCCGTCTCTGACACTTCTAACGCAATAACACCAAAATCAAACGTGTACTGCTTCAGGTCATCCAAGCTCAGGTTGAAGGCGTGGTTGGAGATGTATTCACTGCTTTCTCTCACGCCACATTTGCTCGCAAAGGCGGGGTCCTTTGAATCGCCGCCACCCTGCCCCGGGCCGACACTTTTGTCTGATGAACCTTCAGGGCTGCCCTTTGTCTTTTCGTCAGGCTTGGTCCAGTTGATCACATTGTTTTTGGAGCTGTTGGGCTCTGCAGGCTTTTTACCAGATGGACGGATCTTGTCCAGTGCAGAATCGGGCTTTGAGTCGCTGCCATGTTTTTGGGTGACTGCCATAACCACTTTAACACTGATTTCCGCCCTACCTAATTCATTCACCGCAGAGCAGCTGTAATTTCCATTTTCCTTTTTACTCATCCGAGAGACGATGAGAGAGCCGTTTCTAAAGACAAGGAATTGATTGTTGGTTGTTTTATCATTGATTGGCGCGTCATTAATCTCTCCAGTGGACGGCAAGGGGAACACAAAATTCTGATTTCCTGCAGTCACCTCCCAGCTGACCTGTGGTGTGGGGCTCCCTTTTGTCTCACAATTTAAGATGACCATGAATCCCTCATAGAGCTCTGTGTTCTCAATGTTGGGCTCGGAGGTTATTGTGACAGTAGGGGCCGCACAGTCCAGTTTGGGAATCAGTGTCACCATTGTACCCTTCAGGTGTTCAGGGGCCTCACATACAATTAAGTTTGGCTCTGGGGTGGGAATCTTAATTGTCGTGATCCAATCCCTCAGCCACTCCAGGCTGCAGGAGCATGTGAAGGGGTTGTTAAAAATCTGTAGGTGAGACATGGAGGAGAGAGCACTGAAGGTACCCTGCACAATGGTGATAAACTTGTTGTTGTTGATGCGCAGCGACCGTAGGTCTTTGAGAGTGGAAAAGGCGTCCTTTGGAAGGTTCACCATCTCATTGTTGTTCATTTTCAGAAGCTGCAGGGCTGTGAGGTTGTGCAGATCCTCCCAGGGAAAGTTCACGATTTTGTTGTAGCTGATGTCCAGGTTGCGTAGCTGGATCAGGGGGGCCAAGGAGTCGGTTTCTATTGTAACTATCTCATTGTGGGCCAGCCAGAGAGAGGAGACCTGTGTGATATTGATGAAGCTTTTACTTTTCAGTAATTTGATCTTGTTAGCAGAAAGGCTCACAGTGGTAACATTGGTGGGGAGACCCACTGGTACCACCAGCAGGTCTTTGTAAGCACAGTCAGCAAACTGGTGGGCAAATTTATCCTGGCAGCTGCAGAGCTCTGGACAGCACTGCACATTGCCAACCACAGTTGTCCACAAGGCAAGGAGCTGCAGGAGCCGTCTCGCCATTTTCTGCACCTGCAAGCATCAATTGTCAGACATTAACGGAAGGTCAAATTGTATCCAGACAATAACATAATATCCATTACAGCAGCGGAAACGCACTGTGGAAGCTTTTACATTCCATATTCACTCAAATATGTTTTATTGAGTAGGTTGTTTTTTAAAGGG